TCCTAACCCTTAACCTAATCCTAACCCTTAACCTAATCCTAACCCTTAACCTAACCCTAAGCCTAAGCCTAACCCTTAACCTCACCCTTAACCTAACCCTAAAGCTAACCCTAAACCTAACCCTTACCTTAAGTTGAATTGGCTTGCTTTCAAAGCACTATTTAAAGCGCTCTTCTTTCTCCGCGCTTGCTGTTGTCACCCTGTTGATGACGTCAGCGATGCGGTTTAATTAATCGACTAAGCGCGGCGTAGTCGAGCGCGGTTTTGTCGTGCCATGGGTCGTAATCCACCACTGGTTTGCCACATGATAATCCCTTGCAAGCACCTCTCCTCAAGTGGTTTTAAAATCCTTTCACTTAATTTACAAAATTAAATAGGTTGCTTCATGCTAAATAAATTTAAATGCTTAGATTGCTCCATTGTCAAACTGGTTATTTTTATCTTCTCTTTGCCTAGAGTTTGTATGTCTGTTTTTTAAAAAAATAATAGTTACTTTTTAAAGTGATTTTTATATTTTTTTATATTGGTCATTTTTTATGTGTGATTTTATCCATTTCTTAGGTCCTGGCCAGAGTTGTCTTTGGTGAGATGGGCAGCTATTTAAATTTCATAAATAAATAAATGAATGAAGATCTGATGCAACGTGACAGCTTTTCCAAATCGCTTACATTATTAATGACTCTGTCTTTTGCTTCTGATGCACAGGATCACAACAACCTGTCTAAATGTGAGATATATGGACAACTGTACATAATCTGATGAAGTACACTTGGATGACTACCCTAACCACCACAATCTGGAGTTTGGCATTTGGGTCTGAGAAGTGTGAGATGCCCCTATAAAGAGATGGGATGCTATACAATATAGCTAGAATGAAAATAATTCATGTTGTTCTCTCTCTCCAGCTGTTGGTCAATATATGAACAATGTTGTCCATTAAAAGATAGTCTGTACATACATGCCCATTGTTGTATTCCATTTCAGGGTAAGCAGTGCCAAGCAGAATACAAAAAATGAGTAAGAACTAGCAAGTCAGTAAAATTAAAGCATGAGAAATGGGAAAAGAAATACAAATATAAATCTAGGTTACACCAATGCCTTCGAGGTGTCTTTCCATACCCCTCTATTCATGCAAATTGTTAGATCGGGTAAGGGAGGCACAAAAGGCTTCAGTAAACAACAGCTCTTTATTGCAAGTCAAGTAAACATCTCTGTTTTGAGGTCATGACCCAGCACTGCCTGAAGATGTTTTTGTGGTCATGTACCACAGTGGTGCAGT